TTTTTTTTTTTTTTTTGGTTCAATTTAAAACAATATTTCAGGTTGATTTTTTAAAGTTTGAATGGAAATAAAAATTTGACTCAACTGCAGAATCATTGCATTAATAGTGCTACTGAGACCAACAAAAACTTATTTACCTGGCCTTGAAATAGTGCAAATAAAATTTACGATGAATTGAAAATGTTTGATAAAATGACGAGGCTTAAACAGCTATCCATTGGCAAAATGAAGATTTTACCAATTGTTCAGCTCATCATTTGTTGCTTCACGCAGCATATCGTCTATTCATCTACCACTGAAATTCCTATACCTGTATATAACGAAGCAGTACCTATTGAAACTGCAAATTCATTTCAGTATTCTTATGTAGTTAAACTAACAGTACAATTTGAAGGAAAAGGTAATGAGTATCTTTTTTTTTTCTTATCCTACTCCTGTATTTACACCACTGTAAATAGCAAATTTTCTAACGCTTCAGATAGTTAGTGAAGCTTTCAATCACATTGATCTTCGCAAACCTTATACAAACAGTCACACAGACTGCATAAAAAATATTGACTTTTTTATTATAACTATCTTTTTTTTCCGTTATAACTTTTGTACAGATATTTATAACTTTTTTTTTTACAGATCAGCCAGACATATGTACCGGCTCCTTAATAACAAGATCTCTGGTAATAACTGCTGGACACTGTGTTACGTAAGTTCTTCCAAACCAGTTTATCTAAACAAAAAATTAGAATTTATTTATTTTAAAAGTTTAGAACGAAAGAAGAACTGAAAGAATTGAGTCATTGGTCTTTATTTAATATGTAACCAATATTATCGTCTGAGAACAGTTCTTGTCGTATCGAGCATTCAAACATCATAATGTAAAAACTTAGCTTCTTCTAATAAGACGGCACAAAGTTATCAAGATTAGCTGCAGAGTATTAAACTTTTTTGTTGCAAGGTCAAAAATAATTGTCTCAAGAATAGGGTAATTTTATTTATAGCACAAAAATTTTAACTTTTTATTTATTTACCTACAAAGTTTTAAAATTAAGGAAGAATGGATTGTAGAACTCCCCCCTCCCCAAATGCCCCGTTATATCCACTGATTTCATGTGTAAGGTGACCTGGCAGAAGATCTATTTAAAATTTTAAGGAGCCTATTCTAGTTACTTTCTTGTGGAAATAAAATTCAAGGAGAAAAATGGTAACATCAGTCAATTGTATGGTATCTGTTAGAAATAACGCACTTAATAGTTATTCAGTATATGTTCAAAACTAGTCTCTATAACCTGTATCGTTCTCTAAAACAGTGTTACTTAACCTTTTTACGGTTTTTCCCCTTTCATTAAGGTAAAAATTATGCCGCCGTCTTGAATAATATACACCTTCTTAATTAGCTGCGCTTATTTCCGATTCAGGACTGTACAGCTAAAGTTATATAGAAGAGAAATAAAAGGTTGTCAATCCATTAACCATCCAAACCTCAAATTCCTTCCATCTTGAACCTCCCTTTTAAATTCTGAAATTCATTAATCTGGATCCGTAAAAACTATTGCAGATCCCTTTTCGTCTACCTTCATTTCCCAAACTTCCCATTAAACTGCTTTTATCCGTTAAATCATAACATGAATAAGTATTTTCTCTATCAGAATTGGCAACGACTAGATGAAAAGCGCTGTCTCTAACGCCCCTGAGCGATCCAGATCCTCTTGCAAAAAACTTATCATTTTTTATTTTAGGACACAGTCTGAGAAACCAATTTCTAATTTTACCTAATTATACTCAAATATATAAGAGTTTTGAAAAGCAGTTATTAGTAGTAGAAAAGTCTGAAAGTCGAAGGTATTAAGTGTAAAAATCCATAAAAGTTTCCGCCTCATAACTGACGATATATAAGTTTGAGTGTCGTCTTGAATCAGGATATACTGGCTTCTTTTGACTAGTGTTTGGCTCAATTCGTAAAGCTTCCGTAACAACGTATTAGATTTTTGTTAGTGGAAATCCTGACAGTTGGTATCCAGATCAGACAGTAGCAGTAATAGAATCCAGGAAATTCTTCAGGCCATTACTGGACAAAACCAGTTCAACAAACTCGTTTGATTTACTGTAGGAAGCGCACATCGCTGGCTGTTCTGGCTAACAAAAATGGCGCTCCACTTCCATTTTATTCTTAATATCAAACCATAGCAGTCCAAAATACCAGTCTT